GCCGGGCCCAGCTGGGCGCGGGGGTGCCATGCGCGGGGCCGCCGCGCTCGACCGCGGCCGCACCGACAGGAGCGGCCTTTCTTCGCCCCGCACAAGCCCCGATTGTCCGGGCACTTCCTGCCCCTGCCTCGCGTTCCTGCTCTTCCCCGAAACAATCCTCCTAGGAGAGGGAGGACTCTCCACATCTGCGCGCCCTGAGTTGTGCGCAGCCTTGCTGGGGTGCCGGGGCCCCTCGGGCACCTGCGGCCGCTCGCGCCTCCGTTTCCCCACATGGGCCATGGCCCTGCTGTCCCCCTGCGTGTTCACAGCGAGTCACTCGAAAGAACCAGGTGGCGGTTGGCCCAGTTGCCCGGGTCCTGCAGCACGAGATGGGACATGGAAAGATGAAGACTGGGCTGGCATGGGTCTCAGGAGGCCTGGCCCGGGCAGGGACTCGGGCTTGCTTTGGGGCCTGCGGCAGGAGGAAGTGAGATCCTGTAAATGGTGGTGGTGGTTGGAGCTGGGCAGCTGTGTTAAATTCAGCCCTAACCTCAGTGACACAGCGAAACTTTCTCCCCGTGAGGGAAACAAAGCAGCTTCCCAGCACGAGGGATGCGCTGGCCACAGGGCCTGTGGTGTGGAGATGCTCCTGGGGACTCAGCAGGACCTTCTCCTTTCTCCCCCCAAGCACAAGGAGAACAGCAAGTCCCTATGTTAGCTGGAAGGTCATAGCCCTTTGCCCAGCTTCCCCCAGGATGGACATTCCTGGTGCCATCTGGGCAAGGCGCATGGCCTGGGAGACCAGGGCACAAAGCCGCTCTCCTAGAAAATGAGCAGCAGAGAAGGGCCCAGGCGTCCTGGCACCCAGTCCTGTCCTCTATCCCGACCACACAGAGGGTGTCTGCAGCTGTCAGGGTGGAGGGACATGTCTCTGGTTGTATCTGAACCCAAACTGTTACCTCTGCTTAGCTCATCACTGCTGAGTTGCTCTGCAAAGCCGCTCGGTGCTCCGAGCCGTGAGGAGGAGGAGGGTGGGGATGGGGCTCCGTTCAAATCAATGCTGAGCACTGTGATAACGATCTCTTGTCACCACTGTCACTGTAATGGCAGGCACTGAAATGCTGGGCTGAGCTAGGTCTCGCCAGAGCAGAAGTGAGGAGGAGATCCGGGCGCAGCGGTGAGGCCAGTGTAGCTCTAAGAGGAATTCCCAGTCCTTCCAGCACCTGCTCCAGGAGTGACCAGAGCCAGCACTCCTTTCCCTCCCCAGCCATGGGCTGCCTTCACATGCAAGTGTGGGGGCAAGCAGCCCACATGGAAGAGCAATCCAGGGGTCTGGACTTTGCAAATTGGGCATAGGTGTGAAATGAAGAGTGGGGAAGACTGTTTCCATCTCTCCAACTACCTCCAGCCTCCTCCACGCCTTCCCTAGGGAAGGGTTCAGCTGCTGCCCATCGGGGTACACAGGTCCCTGCTGCCTGTGGTGGCATCCCAAGGCACATAGGAGCAAGTTCTCCAGCAGATCTGCATCCAGTGGGTTTCAGGAACTTGGGGAATTCCCTCCATTCCCATGCTAGATGCGCAGCCTTTCCAATGTGCACTCGGGGCCTAACCCCTCTAGTTTGTCCCCTCTGCTGCTGTCACGGCTGCTGACAGGGCTCTGAGGTCGTGTGGCCGTACAGAGAGGCAGATAAAATCTAGCACTGCGGCATCCCCCTCCGTGCCGGGACGCACCAATCTCCCAGCCTGTCCGCAGTCTCCTCCTCACTAAGCCTCGGGCAAGCCTGAGCGGGTGAAGCGCCCTCAGCAAGCCCCCGTCCAATCCGATTTTCCTTAGCATGGTCGGGATGCAGGTTTCCTGGTTGCTCCTGGCTTGGAGCTGGGGCAGGTGGTGGGATGCAGGAGCGTTGCTGTGTTGTTACCTCTCTGGAGAGGTGCCGTGGGAGTTGTCTATTTAATTCCAGAGGAGCAGCGTGTCAGGGTGAGTGAAATGGGCCCACCAGTGGATTTATTAATTTTTCCTTCCCTCTGCCTCCTGCCAGGTGCTGTGCTAAGATCCCGCGCGGCACAGTCATCTCGCTAAAGCCGAGGGGGGCTTAGTGCTTAAATGGTTTTCTCGCCGCTGAGGAGTTCAGGGCTTGTCGACAAGCTGCGATCGTGCCGGAGCGCCTCGGCAAACAAAGCAGCAGGCAGGGGAAGCGGGAGAGCCTGGGGAGCTGGGGACAGGTCCTCCCAGCTGCTCCGGGAGCGCATCCCATTCCCAGCTCCACCTGACCCCTCCGGCACGGAGAGAAATTCGGCTGCTCCACAGCAACCAGAGCTGCATTTGGTGCAACTCGAATTAGTTGGAACTTGTTAGAAATACCTCCGTTAAATGGCTTTCATGTAAAAAGAAAAAAGCAGAGCTTGCCCGTGTTTCTTAAGCCCTTGATTTAATAGAAGCGGTTTCAGGTTCAGTGGCAGCCGGGGCGCTCCGAGCCGGGACTGCGGCCGCTCTCCCTCGCGGGCTTTGCCGAGGAGCGAGCGCGGAAAGCGCCCGTGGGGCTGAGCGCCGCTGCAGTAACGTGCTGGCTCTGCAGATGGGGGTAGCAGCGCTCCCAAACCAGCCCCGGCTCCAGATGCCACTTCAAAAGCCTGCCCTGCCTGGGAGAGGGAGGCAGAAAAGCCCTGGTGTCCGTCCTCTTGCAGCTCAACCCGAGGGGCAGCCCGCACGCTCAGCCCGCTGCCCTTCCCTCTGCCGGGAAGCACCTGGCAGAGCAGCGGGGAGCCACCGGGAGCAGCGGCTGGCACTGGGAAGAGCTGCCACGGGCACCCCGGAGCCTCTCGCTGAGCTGGAATTCGCTGCTGCTGGTGGGTCACCTGAGTCAAGTGTTTGAGCAGGATCCGGAGCAGGGCTGGTAGTTTTATGGGCAGTAATAGTATTTGCAGCCCTGCTGCGTGCGCCCCTGAGCCCAGGGGTAAGGGAGTCCCCTTCCCAGTGAAAAGTGAATTTTTTTCTATCCCATCTCCAGCCTTTTACACCCGGCCGAAGGCAGGAGCGATTCTTTCTTCAAAGTGTCCTGGTTTGCCGAATATCCCGTGGGCCTGCGGTCAGTTCCACCAAGGGTCCCTGGCTGTGGCCTTCTTAGTTTCCCAAGCAGGGGAAAACTGTCTCCCCTGCAGTGTCCACAGCACCAGGTTGTGCAGGTGACATCCCCACCTGGCAAAACCAGCCCTCTGCCCTAGGTTGAGGCTAACGCCCCTCATTTTTGCAGGAGGTAACAGGGATTTTCATTTTTCTCCCCTCTCCTTGACTTTGCCTTGGCACTGGTGGTGCCGGCCTTGCTTGGCAGCCCCGTGCCCAGCAGGAAGGGATCGCGGGCAGCCCCAGCACCCCCTGCCTGATTTCCCATCACCTGCCACGGGCCCCGTGTGTTTCCACTTAGTCGACATAGTGGAAAGCTGTAAAACACATGTCTGCTTCCCAATGAGGGAGAAGAAAAAATCACTTCAACAGCTTGGTCCAGTTAGCAGCTCGGGCTCTTGACTCCACCGCTGGCTTCGCAGGGACTCTGGGGCTCTGCATGAACGGGACAGGTCTCTGGATGGAGGTTGGTGTGGGCACAGGGGGACGGATGCCCCGTGGCCGGCGTGGGCACCGCGGGGTGGTGGGAGATGCTCCTTCCACCCCACCCGCGGGCTCCTCCCGGCGCGGCTCCCCATCCATCCCATACATTTACCTAACGCTAATGAGACGTATTGATTGGAATGATGGGATTTGTAAAGGTCGCAGGGTTAAAGTACATAAAACCAGCCTTT